ATGTTGTACAGTTCAACTTCTGCTACCTCAATTAGATTATGAAGCCATTATTTCATACAAAATGGGATCCACAGTGTTTCGCAGTTTTTCAGTCTAAGCGACTTCTTCAAGATTAGATTTACTTACACTAAACATTAATTTACTTACGAGTTAACATTTACTTCTGTTCAAAGCAAGCTACCTACATGGATCTCGACTAATAATTAACCCAGTAATAAATATAATTAATTTAATATACCATCCTAGCTCTTTGTGAGCCTGTTTCCTTGGACTGAACTTTGATAATTTACCTGTACAGATTTGTAACTTGCTGCCACAAAGAAGTGACTCCAAATTCATTAACGGGAAAGTGACACAAAATAATTAATTTAATCAGCTAACACAAAGAAAAGTGCTCTAGGGTTGAGTTGGGAAGCGTAACTTACCCTTGGATCTTCGAACCAAAGTAGGTAGAAGTAAAAATACTTGTCATCTCTCCAAGTTACAGATGTATTGCCCTTGTACAGGTATTCATACGCAAAGTTAACCATGTCCCAAACCTTATAGAATAACACATATTAATATCATTTAGTCAAGGAGACAGAATTATAACTTTGAAAGCAAAATCATTAGTTTCACAGCCCCTCAACTGATATTATTGTCCTTTAAGCAATTACAATGTACTCCAAGACATCACTGTATAGTAAGCTAATTAAACAAAAACTGCTTGTTTAAGTACAGAATATAAACAAGGAAAAATAAACCAAAATAACTGTTTCTTACTTACCAACGTTATTTGTTATGAAACTTGTAGATTACAGAATATGAAAAAACACTAAAAAAATGCACTGAATAAAACAACGATTTTCTTTAACTCTAAAGAAAACTTGTAAGCCTGATTGATGTCAAGATGTCATAAAACTTTATTCACAGTTAAAATCATAAATAATATTCAACGTTGTAATTCACTCCTGAGGATGACGTTGTAACGTCGAAACATGTAGAGTCGTCAACTTTTTGAAGGCCATAGATAG